GGTTTTCACTTTCGGTGAGATTTCGGTGAAATTCACTGAATTTCAGTAATTTCAGCAGACACTGAAATATTGCATTTCGGTCAAAATATTTCAGCAATTTCAGTATAGCACAACAATTCCAATATTTTCCAAAATATTTTTTAAAATTTTCAAAATTTTAATTGAATTCAAGTGAATATTTCGGCCATTTAGCTGAAATGGAAACTGAAATTCACTGAATTTCAGTGATTTCGGTTGGTGCTGAAATTTTTCTGAAACTGAAATTGAAAACCATGCCCTCAGGTGAGTTTTGTATGTTGTATATAGTATCTATCAAAATCAAGAGTATGTACGTGTAGGATGTAGTATATAAAAATATATCCTACTTTACTTTTTGGTCTAGCTTGCTCCAACCATTCTATATCCATATGTGTTACGGATGGTCTTAAACCATTAATGATCTCTCCTTGTATATAGGTAAGGCGCCAAAATGGTCGTTGGTAAGAAGCTGCTCGCTTCTATTTTATTTTATTTCTGCATTAATCTCCCTCAGTTCTTGTTGTTTTCTGATATTGAAATATTTCTGAAATCCTAGAGAGGTACAAGGTCAAAGTTCTTCAGAGATAAATTACCATGGCGAACAGTTTACAGCATATACTAAGTGCAGTGCCAAAGGCCATACCGTATGCGTTGTTAGAAGAAATTACAGACAACTTTTCAGATGAGCGAATGCTTGGTCAAGGTGGCTTTGGAAAAGTTTACAGGGTATGATTAATAGTTCGATTTTCTATTTTTTCATTCTTCTCTGACCTGCCTATTGCCTGTTCGACGCACTGCTACTCTGTGTACCCTGATATGCTTTATTTATTTTCAATAAATATCCCCACCATTGGCGTTTCAACAGATTTTGTGTTTATGAAATGATAACAGTACAAGAAACCCATGAATACAATCTTTCTCTTTTTTGACAGGGAATGTATAATGGAGAAGAAATTGCTGTAAAAAAGCTTAGTATGATACCGCGCCTTGCTGATGAGCCACAGTTTAACAATGAACTTCTTAGTCTTGTGCATGTACAACATCAAAATATTGTCAAGTTAGTTGGCTACTGCTATCAAACAAAACATGAAGTTAATGAATACAATGGAAGACTTGTCGTGGCTGACGTGATAGAAAGAGTTCTCTGCTTTGAGTACCTTTCCCGTGGAAGCCTCGACGAATATCTTTCTGGTATGATCGTGCTTTACATAGAGTTAATACTTCTAAAGTATAAATACACATCTTGGTAATACAACTTTATGTTAACTCTACAGACGAATCCTGCGGACTTGATTGGTACGAACGTTACAAAATAATTGTCGGGATTTGTGAGGGTCTAAATTTCCTTCACAATGGAACCAAAAGAGCAGTTTACCATCTTGATTTAAAACCTGCAAACATATTGTTGGATGAGAATTGGATGCCAAAAATTTGTGACTTCGGTCTGTCAAGACTCATTAGTAACTCAGCAAAAAGCCATAACGCGGAACGCTGTATCGGAACACCGTATGTTCATACCTCATGATCATGTGAGCAACTTCTTTTCATCAATATTGTTACAGAAAAAACATGTAACTTTTTTGTATCCTGCAGTCCCTTCATGCCACCAGAATACATAGAGAAGCGCAGAATCTCTCACAAGTATGATGTATTCAGCTTAGGCGTCACAATCATACAAATAATTGCAGGCCCTGATGGCCATAGCAAATATGAAGACATGCCTTGCCATAAATTTACTGAACTTGTACGTGCATTATTATCTGATCAACAATAATGTACTGTAGTTGATTAAATTAGTAATAACATCATCAGTTGTGTCATGTTTAAATACCATTTTGTAGGTAAACTTGAATTGGAGGGGAAGGATAGAGGGAACATCAAAGCATGTGGAAGAATACTGCCAGCAAGTCAAGAAATGTATCACAATTGCATTAGATTGCCTGGAGCATGACAGAAACAAAAGGCCCACTATAGGGTCTATTATCGATACGTTGAAACAGCTAGAAACCATGACTCACAGAACAGTAGAAGAAGAAAAGGAAGGAGAACCTGAGCAGTTGGAACAGATAGAAACCATGATTCATACCACAGCAGAAGAAGGAAAAGATGAAGACCAGGAGCAGTTGGAACAGATAGAAACCACGATTAACAGCACTGTAGAAAGAAAAGGGGAACAGGAGCAGGAGAACGTAGTTACAATTCTTACTCTCTTAACTATTTATTCATCATTCTTTTTATATTCCGATATATTTCTTGATTGGTTTACAGTCTCAAGTTCTTACATATGGGCCTTGGGGTGGAAATGGCAGGACTCCTCATGACATCGGGGCAGCATCTTCCTATCATCTTAAAAGTGTGACAATTCGTTATGGCGATATCATTGATTCACTTACATTTTCATATAGCGATCACAGTGAGCACGTATACAGTGTTGGTCCATGGGGTGGTACTGGGGGTGCGAACAAATATACGGTGAGTCAACAAAAATCTTAGAATAATAATTTTCACTCTTCGTTTTAAATACTGTATCCACTCAAACTAATATCGAAAATTGATGCGCGTGATTTATTTTTCTTAGTTTTGTAACCCATGCCACTCTTTTAAGTTATACATAAAAAAAAGTAGCTGACTTGGTACTGTTCTCTATTCTCTTATAGATCAAATTTGAACCATCAGAGTTTCTGACAGAAATTTCTGGAAATTTTGGTCCATATGCGTTATCAACTTCCAATGTCATAACATCGCTCATGCTGGTAACCAATGAGGATAGATACGGACCTCTTGGATTTGTACAAGGAACTCCTTTCTGCAGCAACTTGGAAAACGATTTGGCTATAGTTGGTTTTTTTGCACGTGCGGAGAGATATGTTCATAAAATTGGTGTGTATGCCAGACCCAATTCGCTCGACGGAGGAACTGCTGTGCAGTCCGAGCTGGAAGGAGGACAAGAGTAGTGGTAGTAGTACGGTATGTGTTTCTAGCGCACTTGGTCCATTTGGTATACGACGGGACAAGAGTATTGTTGCTGTATCTGTATGAGATCGTACATTGCCTATTGTTATTTACATCGCTCCATTATGTTTTATTTTTTCATTACAAAGCCTGCTTCCCTCTATAAATTCTTCTCACAAATTAGGGTACGCAACTTTGTGTACTTGCATAGTGTCAGCAAGCTAGAATCATCAAAGTCCTTGCTAGGGAGTACATATAGATGACGAACATTCTGGAGAACTTTATCAAAGTCATTCTTATTTCTTAATATGAAGCAGTCGTGCTCTGAAACATTTTGTGCCATGTCATGCAACAAATCATGGATTACGTATCCACCACGGACCTTTTGAAAGAAGGACCGTGCTACAAGGTCTTTGAAATAGTGACAACCAATGTCTTGAATTGGAACACCATCTTGAGGTTCCACAAAGTCTTCTGCTACCCAAATTTCAGTTAAGCATGCCTTCTCAAATTTGTAATCTTTGGGGTACACGGCACATAATGCGAAGCATTGCTTCAGATAGAGTGGTAAATAAATGTAGCTCGACCAAAGGGCAGGCAAAATGTCAGCGTCCTCTTGTCTCAATTCCCACAGTTCACTCTCAAGTATAAAATTCCAATGTGATGCTTCAAGATCCATTCGTAACATGCATCCTAGAGTTCTGGCGGCCAAAGGAGAACCCTTCAATTTAGGAAGTATTCTTCTACCAATGCGCTCTAACTCAGGATCATTGTTAGAACCCTCTTGGTCACTTGTAAAAGGTGCACAAAACCTCTTCCAACACTGCCCATTTTCCTTCAAGGCATCATCCCACATGTCATCAAGGACTATCAATAACCTTTTATTGTTCATATGGTCAGAGAGAACACGATGAAGAGAATCCAAATTATTAGTTGTTGCCTCCATCCCAGTACAGGATTGTATGGCCTTTTTAGTTAGCCTCTCCACATCAAAGCCATCTGAGACACAAACCCAAATTATCAGCTCAAAGTGATACTTCACTCGTTGATGGTTGCAGATATGTTGGGCCAGAGTAGTCTTTCCAACTCCACCAAATCCAACTATTGGCAAAATAGGAAGACTCGATATTCTTGATTCCTTACTAACTTAGTTGCTTGGTGATGCGCTTGTTGATGCACTAATTGAACTAGTTCCTCTCTTGCGTTTCAAATTTGCATATACATTAAGAAGTCCCAATACTTGCTTCACCTCCTTGTCACGACCAAATATATTTTTATATCCTAGCTCCACTACCACAACGGATTTCACAACATTTTACAATTTTACTTTGTTCACCTTTTCACTGACTTGTACATATTAGATTGTAAATATGTTTGGTTTATTTAAAACAGTTGTGAGGTCCTCCCTTGTAGTGTTTCACAAACCAATATAGAAGCATATAGTGTATGGAATTTCTACATCCTCAGCTTCATTGTTTATTTATTTGTTTCGGAATTGAAGCATATTTTCTCCTCACGGTGCCGGTCAAGCATGATGTTCATGATCAATTTTTTTGATGGTATAATCTAGAACAACTTTTGGATAATAAGGTGATGATCACATGGCGTAAAGTCTTTTCTATCTTTTAATGCATACTAGCACAAATGCCCGTGCATTGCAACGGGAGAAATTTTTACACGTCCCATGCCTCAATAAATTCTGCTCATTATCATGTCCTCGTCTCTGTCTGCGCTCCATATAATTTCATTTTAATTAGAGAGCTTTCGTTCCTTATTTCTCTGACTGATTTTCATCCTTATTCCTTACACCTCTTCCTTATTTTGTCTCAATTCCTTTCGTTCCCTTTCTTATTCCCTCTCAATTTCTTTCCTTCCTTTTCCCTTGCATGTCGGGAATTAGCAAGAGCAAGACCATCTCTCATAGCCATCACTTATGTGGTGATCACGACTGCTGCAAATGGAATAAATTTACACCGAGTCACCAGAAAATTACCTCTATCATCCCTGAGTATGGCCGTTGTAGCTCCAACTCCTTCGTCTGGGAAAAATACTGCATCAACATTTAGTTTAGTGAAACTCTTGTTTGGCTTATAGCACCTGGGTTTGACAAGACCGGAAGTGTCCATCTCCATGTTGGCGGAACCGCTTCGTTGTGCGTATTTTTTCTGCAGATCCACCACATGTACCAACCTCCGACTGCTATCACTTGTTGGAAAATCAAAGTTGAATGTATAGCTAGGTGTTCCTCCGGAAGAGATAAGATGTGTTCGAATATAACAGAACCCGGTCTGTCCACTGGGAAAGTGTGATCAATGAGTTGTATCACTCCAGGACGGGTCCATAGCACTTGCGCGTTTGTGCACATGAACAATAGATGTCGAATGTCCCCTCCCTGTGATGACAAATAGGGCATGATCTGTTTGACCCGATATGCCTATTGGTTAAGATAGCTCGGAGGAATATTTTTTTTTGTAGAACTCTCCATCCAAAAATCTTAACCTTACGTGGAATTTGAAGTTTCCAAAGATTATTCCAGATAGACAAAGGGGTAGAGACACCAGGTCGCTTTATCATGTTTGCATATGCACCCGGAAACTATGTATCAAGTCCTCAATACATCGAGTATTGCATTGCCAAACCGTTCTCCTACATTACTGAATAGGAGTAGTATTTTTAAAGATAGTGTCTGGGGTTCTGAAGTGAGCCCGCTTAATGAAATTCATGAACATTTTTTTCTTTTCAACATATTTCTTCCAGTTTCTTGATTTTGTTATTGTGAACATTTTTTCTGATTCTTGAACAATTTTTAAAATTTGTAAACATTTTTTGTATCCCTGAATATTTATGGAATTCACAAACACTGTTGAAATTCATAAAACTCGTGAGATAAATATATTATTAAAATCTAGATGAGAACATTTACGTTAGCTTAGTATGTGGACTGCAGCATTACCCATCGACAAAATTTACAAGTTGTTGCAAGAAACAAGCTTTTGATTGGCAAGGTCGTTAACGGGTCATCACAACATACCAGGCGAGGGACATACCTCTGTAGGTGATGCCAGCTTTTGCGGTCGCTACAAGTGACACACAACAGTATGTGTCGATATACATCGATTTATGAGGGGAATATGGATTGCCTCTTGGTCCACTTCCCACCCACAAAATCAACTAGAAACTCGGAGGGATAAATAGCTCAAAACAATGCTACATGGGCTTCATACGGGGGCCAGATCTGACTAACCAGAATTGATGTGAGTTTTCAATGGGAATAGCTTCCTCCTAAACATCGGGTCAGTAACTCAAAAGCAAATATTCCAATGTTTAGTTTGCGGGTGGTTTTCAGGAGCAAGCAATGAATGAAAAAAGTACTAATAAATATGAACTACTGACATTTAGAACTTAGAAGTATAATCTTCATGAAGTCAAAAAAGATACGATCAGGGCTAAGTGTGGATGGCCGGGATTGTTGGCTTATATATGGTGCTAAGACTAGTAGGTGTTCTAGTTTCCATGTGATCACATTTGAAGATGAACATGAGTGTGCACCTAACAGAACCAATCATATATTGC